CTCCAGAAGGTTCTCTGGTCATATTGCTGATGGCAGAGTCATTGAAGTCAAAATCATTATCATACAGATCGTCATCCTCACTCCTGATGAGGGTATGATTGTCTACCACTCCAGGGGTGGTAATTCTTTCTTGTAATGTGTGATGAGGGCGCAGAGATGGGCATTGGGCCTGGGTATGTCCAGGGCGAGTGGTGCAACAGAGGGGGCATTCATAGAGTCTGCAGTTGACACAGATATGGCTGAGACAATGACAGACATAGCATGCCTGATGGTAACATGGATTGGAAGGGGTGAGAGGATGATCAGCTTCAGTCATCTCATTCAGGACAGGAGATGGGGGTAGTTGTGCAAGAGTCTTGACAATATTCAGAGTGTAGTCAAGTTCAGCTCTAGTGATGCCAAAGGTGGTCTCAGGGTCTACTTCAGATGGGGAGTTGTGGGACTTGCAGGGTTGAGGGTTAGTACCTGACAGACAACAGGCATGAGGTCAATCAGCTCATCTGGGAGAGTGGGATGAGTGAGAGGAACAGGAGGATGATGGTGACAATGCAGGGGAAGAGGATGACATGGAGGAAATGGGAGGAGAGGTTGCAGTCAAAGGTCTTCCAGACCCAGGGAGAGGGGGAGTGATTAACATTGGATATTGACAGACATTGTAGATGAGGTTGGCTCCTCCTAAGATATCGAAGAGTTGGAGGAGCAGAGGAACTGGAAGATGTTATGAATCTTCCATCATGTGGGAATCACAAGGCAGTAGGTGATTGGAGATAGGACCTCAGAGATACCAAAGGGTCCTTCTTGTTTTGGGGCAATTTTTCTACTTTCATAGGAACATTTTAAGTTCCATGCTTCAAGCCAAACCTTATCTCCTTTCTGGAATGGGGAGAAGGGTTGTGATGAGCAGTCTTTCATTGTTTTTCTGGCTAGATCATGTGCCACTAGGGCTTCTTCTCTAGCCTTTTGAAGTTCTTCAAGTCTGGACTCAGTGGCAGGAAGATGGGCTTCCATGATAAGAGATGGAAGGGGTTTTGGTTCATATCTGTACATGAGGTAGAACAGAGATTGATGAGTGATGGAATGAGGTCAGTGGTTACAGGTGAACTCTGCCATAGGGAGGTTATCCACCCATGAAGTTGGATCATTCTGACAGAAGATTTGAAGGTAAGTCTTGACCTCCTGATTGACATGTTCTGTTTCTCCATCTGTTTGAGGGTGATATGCTGTTGACAGGGCAAGGGAGTATCCAAGAAGGGAAGTGAGTTCTTTTGTGAAGGCAGAGGCAAACTGGGGTCCTCTATCAGATATAATTCTGTCATACAACCTGAAATGGGAGAAGACCTTCTTGAAATAGAGGGTTGTGATATCAGTGGCAGAGGTGGTTTTCTTTGTGGGTGTTAAAATTACCCCCATCATAAGCCCATGGTCTACCATGACCAAGAGGGAATCATAACCCTTAGAAAGAGGGAGGTCAGTGACCAGATTGCAAGAGATCTGTTGGAAGGGGCAGGTCGAGGTTGAGGGGATGGGTGAAAGGGGTGGTGTTGTTGGGTGGGTGTTAACCTTATTTTGCTGGCAAGTAGCACAGCCTTCAATAAATTTTCAGACAAAGGAAGCAAGTCTGGGCCACCAGAACTCAGACAAGACAAGTTGTCAGGTTTCCAGGACACCAGGGTGTCCAGCAGAAGGATGATCATGGTGATTGGACACCACAGTTTGGCAGAGGGAGGGATTGTCCAGGATGTAAACTCTATCTTTATAAAGTAACACTCCATTGTCAAATCTCCAATCAGAGAGATGGGATTTAAATGGGAGTGGCATGTCAACATGTTCAATAGCATGAAGTGCTGTCTGGACCACAGGGTCCTTCATAGAGGAGGATGCAACCTTCTGGGTAAGGTTTGTATCAATGAGGTTAACAAACAGTGTTTGTGGGAGGAGGGTAATTCCTTTGTTGTCTTCATCATTGTCAGGCATGTGGTCAGGTCAGCAAGATAGTGCATCAGGGGTGGCCAGGTCTTTGCCTGGGACATGTTTGAGCTGCAGATCAAAGTCTGTGAGATCAAGTAGCCAGCATGCCTGGCAACAATTTAAGTTTTGTGGTGCCTTGAAATAGGTCAATTTCTTATGGTCAGTGAACACCTTGACTGGGAATGGTGATCCATGGAGATAGTGTCTCCAGGATTTCAACCCACGAATAACCCCTAGCAGTTCTCTATTGTAGATGTTGTAGTTTCATCCAGCAGGGTTAAATGACTGGGAGATAAGGGCACAGGGTTGTCACTGGCCATTTGAGTTTTCCTGAAGGAGAATGCCTCCAGTTGTGTACTTGGATGCATCAGTGGTAATTGCAAATGGCCAAGAAGTATCAGGCATTCAGAGGGTTGGTTGTGCCATGAAGACTCGTTTCAGGATGTCAAAGGCAGTCTGGCATTTCTTTGACCAGTCCTAAGCAACTGTTTTCTTGGTGAGGTCAATCAAGGGTCAGGCAATGCCCAAATAGTACAGGACAAATCTCCTATAGAAATTTGTGAATCCAAGAAAGGATCACACATCCTTGACCTTTTTTGGGACAGGCCATTCAGCAATGCCCTGGACTTTGACAGGGTCCATGGTGATGGTGTTCTCTTCAATGATCATTCCAAGGTATTCAACCTCAGTCAGATCAAAATGACACCTTTCTAACTTGAGAGGAAGTGACAACTCTTTCATTTGTTCAAGAACTTGATGAGTTCTGTGTTTATGTTCTTCAGGGTCAGTGGAAAAGATGAGGAGGTCATCCATATAAACAATTAACCATCCTTTGGCAATTATGTCTTGGAAAGAGTCATTCATGAAACATTGGAAGGTGGCAGGGGAATTGCACAATCCAAAGAACATGATGGTTGGTTCAAAGAGTCCTTTGTGTGTGATGAACACAGCTTTCCATTGGTCACCTTCCTTGATGCAAATGTTATTATAGCCTGATCACACATCCATCTTTGTGAAGATAGATGCTCCCTTGAGTTTATCAATGAGATCTGAAATCAGGGGAAGGGGATAGGCATCCTTTATGGCATTCTTGTTCAGATATTGGTAGTCTTGGCAGGGACAAAGGGAGCCATCTTTCTTTCCTACAAAGAAGAAGGGTGCTGCCTGGGGGGACTTTGAGGGGCAGATTTTTCCTCCTTGAAGGTTTTCTGCAATGAACATTTCTGTGGACTCTCTTTCCAAAGGAGAGAGTGGATATGCTTTAGCCACCTTTGGGGTGAAGTCCTCAACAAGGTTGATAGCATGATCATAAGGTCACAACAGAGGGAGGACTCCATCAGAAGGTTTCTCAAAAACCGAAGCAAACTCTTTATAGTCTTCAGGGAGAACAGCTTTTGGTTTTTTCTTGTGTTCTTCCTGAGCCAATTCAGTGGCTGTAGTGATTGTCCAAAGAAGACTATTGTTTGGATTAATCTTCTTTGCTTCTTCTACCAGTTTTCCAACTGACATCACAAAATGTGCACAGATGGTTTTGTCCTCTGGTTCTTCATAATCCATAAACCTGTTTATCCCTTTCTTTTCAACCAGGGACACAAGGTTCATGATGGGTTCTTGGACTGGAACAGAAGAGATGTTGCATCTCAACTCTTTAGACCTATCAGTCTTTTCATCAATGGAAAGAGTGCCCATTCTCCAATCGATGATGGGGTTATTTTCTTGAAGCCAAGGGAGACCTAGGATGACATTTTCTGTTCCACAATTAATGACATGGAAGAAGGTTTGATGAACAATCCCTTCAACTTTAAAATAGAGGGTGGTGGAGAACAGGATTTTTCCCTTGGAGTTCAGAGTTCCATCTGTGTTTTTAGCAAGGATGGGTTCAGCAAGTCATTGAGTAGGGATTCAATGCTTTCGCACAAATCCCCAGTTGATACAAGAAATTTCTGCACCAGAATCAACCAGTGCAGTGGTTTTGATGACTGTTTCAGTTCTTTCTGATGCATAGAGGATGATGGGGATTTGCATAGTACAATCTGGGGTAGAAGATACTAGTACAGGTGCAACAGAGATAGAACTGTCCTTAGTTTTGGGATGTATGGCATTCCAGTTTTTGACATATCTCTGTCATTTCTGCAGATACCAAGACCATTCCCACACTCACTTGTAGTGCTTGGCCACATGATCTTACCTTCCAAAATTGGAAAGGATTTGCACACTCCACACATTTCTACAGCACTCCCTCCAAAAGACACTCATTTCACTAAATTCTTCTGATATGGCCACCTCCACATCAATCATTTTGCTTGTCCCCTTTGCTAGGGACCATGGCTACATATATCTGCCAGGAATTCCTACCAGCTTCTGTCCTGAAGCATCCTGGTACATCCCACCCTTGTCTGTGCCCTCTCAGCCCATGCAGCTTGGACAGCATGTGCTTTTTGTCAGTATGACCTCTAGGAGGATGTTCTTTGGTCACCTCAGGTCTGTCATTTGCTTGGGAAGGTCTTATGTGGTCATTTCAGTCTCTCCAGTCCAAGAAGCATATGGATCCTTCCTCCCTGCTCCCTGCAATGTCTTCATACCAGTCTTGTCCATCATTCTTCCAAGATTGCGACAGCTACAGTATGATCTACTGTTCTCCACTCTCCCTGATCACATCCATGACAAGTATGATGCACATCTTGCCTCCTTGTTGCAAGATATGGCAGAAGACACTCCCCCTTCATCCTCTCTTCCAACAGAGCCTCATTCATGAAGTTTTTATTTGCTTCACTGAGAGGATGGTTTGGGGGGGAAAGTTGTGATCCCCTATGCTCCTGTCACCCCACAGACCCCCAAAGCTTGACCCAATTCCCTCAGATGTGTTGATGCCAACTGCCACAAGTTCTAATGTGGCAACACTTCCTGAATTCAAGATCCAATTTCATCCGAGAAGCAATCAACCACCAATTTATCAGTCTTACGAAGAGTTCCATGTTCACAGTGAGAAGTCCCCATCCCCAGTTGACAAAACACCTTGGTCCCCATTTCACATGTTGGATGACTTTGAGTTTGCAGAAATTGAACTCACTTCACTACTCAACCAGCAACAAGTCAATGCCCTGCTGGATCTCTTTGCTTGTGTCACACAGGGAGCTGTCCAAGTCACACTCAAGAATGATGCCAAACTTTGCAAAGCATGTGATGCAGCTGTGATGGAACTCACTCCAGTATGATTTTCAAATATCCATTCATTGCCATCCATCCTACCTATCTAAATAGTTCTCCAGGGTCGAAGTTAAGGTACCATACAAAAAGGAAGAATGTATGTTCAAAGCACATATTCACCCACTATGGGAGTGGGCACTTGATATCTTAGAAAATCCATTCCTCAGTCCACATTTCACCTGGGACACACTGCGACTTTACAGGCACAACAGCACTGAGTATGAACATTTTTACGACAAGCCCTGGACTGGAGATTATTGGTGGGATATTCAAGTATTTGCCTGGTCGATGTGTCATTCATTACCTGTACATAACATGTTGTATTTGTGCTAGTTGAGTCTACCAAATATCAAGAATGCCATGCCATTTGGCCTGATCCTTTATGCTGACAAATCCAACCTATCATCTTTCAGCACTGCCAAGAGTTACCCCATCGTTGTGCACTGTGCAAACTTGCCAGTTGAGATTTGGAATAGCAATGTCATTGGCAGAGGTACTGTTGTCAGCTGGCTGCCTATTGTGAATGATGTCCACTGTTTAGATATTCATATAGGCTAAGAACATTTCAGGTCCCCAAAGATGCCAAAGAAGAGGGAAAGCTAGGCTACACAACCCTCAAGCATGTTGTTTGGCACAAATCTTTTAAAAAGTTACTTCTGGAGATTGAGCAGTACTCAAAGACTGGGTATGTACATACATCTTTGTGTGATGATGTTACCTGTTGGCTCTTTCTGAGTCTTATGATGCTGTCCACCAATTTTGAAGAGGTGTAATATACTTCCTTCTTCTTGCTCAGACTAATGATACTAACTCAATGGCCTACTACAGATGCATGATGGCACTCATTCATGGTTGTGGTGGCAAATGCCCTTGCCCTGTATGTCTTGTACCATCAGAGCTACTCCATGACCTCTCTAGGACTTTTGAACCTCGTACACATGCCCAGGGCATCGATGCATTATGTGTTTGTGCTATGAATCGAGCTGAAGGTGATGAATTGCTGAAGTGGTTAGGTTTACAACTGATCAAAGTAAGTTTCCACCAACAAATCACCATCAGTGAACTAATATATAATGGGATGCAGAATGTGTTCTGGCTGATTGGGTTTTCTGATCTCCACCTCGCCTGCAGCTTTGATTGACTGCATTATGGGCATGGTTTTTGGGGCAAGCATGTCTTTGGCGACCTAAAGGTGATTGTAAAGGTGCTTGGGCAACAGATCAAAGCCGATGTCAAGAAGTAGTGAGTCACTGTTTTACAATCAATTGCTCTGATCATTTTCACTTCTCACATTTGACAATGACAGTGTTGCAAGTTTTCCTCACTGGCAAAACCTCGCACACTTCAACCAAGTTATTCATGTCACTTTTTCAGATGGTAACAAGCTGGCCAATATCTCCAAGGTATGTGTGTCCAATACTGGATGGCTGTCAATGAACTGTTTCCTAGCAAATCTTCTATGCGGGGATCAATGTTTTGAAGAAGAGTATCACCCCTGAAGGGTACCAGCTCCTCCAAGTCATCCAAAGCTACCTACAGCTTGATAGCCTTGTCAGCTTAGATGTCCAGACCAAATGTATGGTTAACATGATCAATGACAAAATATTGACATTTGATCAGACACTGAAGGTAGTTATATGCTTCATGCTCATGCCAATTTGTCATAATGTGTCATTTTCAGGACTACACCAAATGTGTTGTGAAGTCCAACATTGATGGTCTGTGAACTGACTGGAATTTCCCAAAGGTCCACCTCTGGAAGCACATTGTTCAAGATATCTGCCTAAAGGGTGCCACATGCAACTATAGCACTTGGCCCAACAAAAGTATGCATAAGCCAATCCAAGATGCATATGAACACCATTCGAATGGTAGAGATGTTCCTGCTCAGGTATGACAACCATGTGTGCTGACACTCCTACTCACAGTCACTTTAAAATGCATGTTAGGTCTTGCAGGTAGATCATCAAGTTCTTGCTACGAAGCTTCTCAGATTGCATGTTGATCACCTTGAGAAATCCATCTCTGAGGAATCAGATCCAGAAGTTGATGCAGTCAGTGAGCATACCTCAGTTGATCATATTAAGCTTGGTGCACATGTCATCACAACCCAAACCCTGAAAGACTTGGAGGAAAATGGTCAGCCAGATATGGCATTCCATCAGTTCCATCAAAGGGTCTGTGAGTTCCTTAATGACACCCTTCCAGCATATGGATATCAAGTCAAGTCATGGATCTCCCTCCCCACTGACTTCATGGTATGTATCTACACTCTCATTATGCATTCATCTAGTTGAAACTGTGCTTGTGCTAAGGTTAAAGAATACCATTATCTGCTGGTCAACTACAAGTCGACTGTCACTTGGAACCAGTGCACAGATTGTCTCTGCTGCAACCCATCATTTTTTGGTGTGCCCCGCTGTGAGTCAAAGTGAGGTTCAGTGGTGAAAACCAACCAAAACCAACACAAAAGACAATGAAAGCGAGTGGTGGTGTGCCTATGTGGTACCTAGATGGTAGAACCTGTTCTTTGGGAAGGTTTTTGTGAGCTACAACACTCAAAGATGAGTGCTGAGGGTTGGGGGTGCTCCTGATGAAGAGGGAGCAAGAATGTGATAGAAAGCAATAGGGTAGACTGCTGTCAGCCTACAGAAGGATGGATGGTGACTTAATTCGATGTCCTAAGCTGTACTGAGCTCAGGGAGGGCTTGGAGTGAAGTATATGGATGATAGATGATGATAAGCGAAGTAGATGATAGCTAGACCCTTAATAAAGTCTCAACTATCAAAGCTGATGAATGATTTACTGAGAGATGATAAATTGCAAGCAAGAGGGGCTCTCTGATGTCTTCTTCCTTTTTGCTACCTAAGTACAGTGACTTATATACAGTACAGGGGCATTGCCTATGGAAAACAAGGTGCAAACACTTGGTAAGCGATTGGTAACTGATGAGTAAGGAATGTAAGTGATGGGTAATCATCTTGGAAAGCATTAGTAAGCATTGGTAAGGATAAGTAAGCCAAAAAGCAAAAATCAGTAAGCAAAGTCAAAAGATTGGTAAGTATTGGCAATAGGTGAGTCAAAGACAGTCAGAATGTCAAAGTATGAGTCAAGCAATGTCAGGAACTGAGAAAGCGCACTGGAATCACATTAGGGGGAGGCTGTGCATGTCACATCTCAAAGAGATTGCTTCTAGGCCAAGGTGGGATGACAGAGAGGCAGTGCTGATCTGATGCTGATATAGTACATCCAAAAGCGGACAGGGTGAGTCAGATGTCAACAGGGGTCAAGCTTTGGGGGTCTGTGGGGTGACAGGAGCATAGGGGATCACAACTTTCCCCCCCAAACCATCCTCTCAGTGAAGCAAATAAAAACTTCATGAACAAGGCTCTGTTGGAAGAGAGGATGAAGGGGGAGTGTCTTCTGCTGTATCTTGCAACAAGGAGGCAAGATGTGCATTATACTCGTCATGGATGCAATCAGGGAGAGTGAAGAACAGTAGATTATACTGTAGCTGTTGCAATTTTGGAAGAATGATGGACAAGACTGGTATGAAGGCGTTGCAGGGGGCAGGGAGGAAGGATCCATATGCTTCTTGGACCAGAGAGACTGAAACGACCACATAAGACCTTTCCAAGTGAATGACAGACCTGAGGCGACCAAAGAATGTCCTCCTGGAGGTCATACTGACAAAAAGAACATGCTGTCCAAGCTGGATGGGCTGAGAGGGGGCAGATGAGGGTGGGATGTACCAGGACGCTTCAGGACGGAAGCTGGTAGGAACTCCTGGTAGATATATGTAGCCATGGTCCCTAGCAAAGGGGACAAGTGAAATGACTGATGTGGAGGCAGCCATATCAGAAGAATTAGCGAAATGAGCATCTTTTGGAGGGAGTGCTGTAGAAACGTGTGGAGTGTGCAAATCCTTTCCAATCTTGGAAGGTAGGATCGCATGGCTGAGCACTACAAGCGAGTGTGGGAATGGTTTTGGTGTCTGCAGAATTGGTGGAGATATGTTGAAAACTGGAATGCTGTACATGGGTGCTTAACAATTTTATTGGCGCTTAACCTGCCTCCTCCTTCTTCTTTGGCATTGACAACCTGTTCTTGTGCGAGGGATGACTGCCGACATTGCTGGCTGTCCTTCTTCACATGAGGGCTATGGTCTTCACCTCCATTCATCAGCTACATCCATGTCCACCTCACCAAACACTTTTGGTATGTGACACCGCTATGACTGTGCACTTATTCAATACACCAAGACAGGAACTGCCTTCATTCATCTCATCTGCATGTTTTCCTGTGTCATTCCAGACATAGGAAACATGGAATTTATCTTGGCACAACCCTTCATGACAAGGATTGGACCAGCCCACACTATTGATCACGATCTCAGACTCAAATGTGTCAAGACAGTTCCATGGGCTGTGTCCATCTTCATACCATTGTGCTTGATCATCTAAGGGGCTGTTCTAGCACCTGACACTGAACACAATGATGAATTTTTTGTTGTTGAGCAGCTTGATAGTGATATGTTCCTATGGACACAGGTGATGCAGGTTACTTACCATCTCTAGTGGCCTTCCAACCAGAGAATTTTGAGCACATTGCAGATGTTGTACCGTAGTCACCTACTGCTGATGGCATTGTCAAATCATGCTTTATTATGTCCTCAGACTGGCTCAGTAGCTGGTTATGTCCAACTGCTGACATTCAACCTGCTGACAGTCTGCCATGTGGATTCCCTGAGGCTACTACTATGGATGTATTGCTTTTTTTTGTACTATTCAAAATTTCTGTATTCATCTAAGAGCACCCAACTGGCAGGTGTCGACCTCCATCAGGATTTGCGACATCCATGGCCCTTAATAAGGAGAATAAAGGGAGGCTTGCAAAGGTTCGCAACCATCCGTGTGTGGCCTTACCATTTCCTCTGATCCTTGACATCCATTTCCTTCACTGATATGGCACCCAGTGCTGCTTATGATGCCTTCAACTCTGATGCTGAGGATGGAGGTCCCAAAGACTTCAACCTTGACAAAGGGATGGACAATGCTGACTTGGAAGACCTGGACAGTGACACCAAACAGCACAGGCAACTTACTCATGTTCCTGGACCTCAAGCTGATGTTGCTGAGCTGCAAGCGGTATGTATTTATACATTCTTGTTCATGATGAGTCACCAGGCATTAGTGCTGACATGATGCTAGGCTCTCAGTGTTGTGCAATGAGCATACACTGAATGCTGCAAGGAACTGTGCCAGACAAGGAAGGCTCTCTTCAAAGCCAATAGCCAGCATTCCAAGTGGTCCAGGAACATGTCTAGCAAGTCAAACAGCCTCACAACTTGTATTGAGCAAGAAGCAAAGAAATACCTCCTACTGTATCATTTTTTCATCATTCAAAGCCTTTTCCCAGCAGCTCTGAATCCCAATACTGATTGATGCGATCCAGCATGGTGGAAATCACAGGATGGGAAGCTCAAGGGTGCTCTGACTGAGCTTTATGAGATGATTCCCATGGATTTGCATGAGTCAATGGTAACCTACAAGCAATTTGGCTCCATGGTACATGTAATTCCAACCTTGGTGACCACTAATGTATTAATTTGTTTTAAGTTTGTACAAGTGCATGGTGTCACACACCAAAGGTGTTTGGTGAGGTGGACATGAATATAGCTGATGAATGGAGGTGAAGACCATAGCCCTCATGTGAAGAAGGACAGCCAGCAATGTCGGCAGTCATCCCTCACACAAGAACAAGTTGTCAATAGCAAGGAAAAAGGAGGAGGCAAGTTAAGCGCCAGTAAAATTCTTAAGTGCCCATGTATGGCATTCTGGTTTTCGACATATCTCCACCAATTCTGCAGACACCGAAACCATTCCCACACTCGCTTGTAATGCTCCACGTGATCCTACCTTCCAAGATTGGAAAGGATTTGCACACTCCACACGTTTCTACAGCACTCCCTCTAGAAGACACTCATTTCACTAATTCTTCTGATATGGCTGCCTCCACATCAGTCATTTCACTTGTCCCCTTTGCTAGGGACCATGGCTACATATATCTACCAGGAGTTCCTACCAGCTTCCGTCCTGAAGCGTCCTGGTACATCCCACCCTCATCTGCCCCCTCTCAGCCCATCCAGCTTGGACAGCATGTTCTTTTTGTCAGTATGACCTCCAGGAGGACATTCTTTGGTCGCCTCAGGTCTGTCATTCACTTGGAAAGGTCTTATGTGGTCGTTTCAGTCTCTCTGGTCCAAGAAGCATATGGATCCTTCCTCCCTGCCCCCTGCAACGCCTTCATACCAGTCTTGTCCATCATTCTTCCAAAATTGCAACAGCTACAGTATAATCTACTGTTCTTCACTCTCCCTGATTGCATCCATGACGAGTATAATGCACATCTTGCCTCCTTGTTGCAAGATACAGCAGAAGACACTCCCCCTTCATCCTCTCTTCCAACAGAGCCTCATTCATGAAGTTTTTATTTGCTTCACTGAGAGGATGGTTTGGGGGGGAAAGTTGCGATCCCCTATGCTCCTGTCACCCCACAGACCCCCAAAGCTTGACCCCTGTTGACATCTGACTCACCCTGTCCGCTTTTGGATGTACTATATCAGCATCAGATCAGCACTGCCTCTCTGTCATCCCACCTTGGCCTAGAAGCAATCTCTTTGAGATGTGACATGCACAGCCTCCCCCTAATGTGATTCCAGTGCGCTTTCCCAGTTCCTGACATTGCTTGACTCATACTTTGACATTCTGACTGTCTTTGACTCACCTATTGCCAATACTTACCAATCTTTTGACTTTGCTTACTGATTTTTGCTTTTTGGCTTACTTATCCTTACCAATGCTTACTAATGCTTTCCAAGATGATTACCCATCACTTACATTCCTTACTCATCAGTTACCAATCGCTTACCAAGTGTTTGCACCTTGTTTTCCATAGGCAATGCCCCTGTACTGTATATAAGTCACTGTACTTAGGTAGCAAAAAGGAAGAAGACATCAGAGAGCCCCTCTTGCTTGCAATTTATCATCTCTCAGTAAATCATTCATCAGCTTTGATAGTTGAGACTTTATTAAGGGTCTAGCTATCATCTACTTCACTTATCATCATCTATCATCCATATACTTCGCTCCAAGCCCTCCCTGAGCTCAGTACAGCTTAGGACATCGAATTAAGTCACCATCCATCCTTCTGTAGGCTGACAGCAGTCTACCCTATCGCTTTCTATCACATTCTTGCTCCCTCTTCGTCAGGAGCACCCCCAACCCTCAGCACTCATCTTTGAGTGTTGTAGCTCACAAAAACCCTCCCAAAGAACAGGTTCTACCATCTAGGTACCGCATAGGCACACCACCACTCGCTTTCATTGTCTTTTGTGTTGGTTTTGGTTGGTTTTCACCACTGAACCACACTTTGACTCACAACAGTCAGGAGAGATCCAATGTCCTCAAAGTCATCAAGGACTGTGCTGGCACATTATTCACTCCATATAACATTTCACCAGATCTCTTTACTGGAAAGCCCACTTGTAAGAAGGACAACAAGGCATGCCTAGCACTCTTGAAGAAGGATGGAGTCAGAGAATACACCTGTTTTGCACCCATTCTTTTTGCAGATCCTAAGCAGATGGTTACTGGAGGCTTCTTGAAGAGTCCTATCCTAGTTAAGGTAAGCATGCATGGTTCAATGCCACTCTTATTTGAAAATTGATTTCAGCCCATAGGTTATCCATGTCCTGATGTTTGGAAAATCAATCCTCACAGAAAACAAATGTGGACAGCCCCCAGCCAGGGGTCAGAAGATGGGCATGCTGAGCATTACTGAGGGCCTGATTGCTGGTGCCTGCATCTTGGTGAGGGTGTCCATGGTCACTGTGCTAGTACATGCTGATGTCAATATCATACTGAGGTTTGATTCCTATTGTCACATGATCCTGAATGAAGTGCTACTGGTGCAGAAATGCAGGTCAACTACCAATCAGAATATGATTTCTACCTTGAGAAGCTTTTCAAAGCATCTCCTTGGGCTGTCAGCATGATGAATTTCTTCAACCAGGAAGTCTTTGGGAAGGGGTCTCAATTGGCAAATGTCAAATCCGAGGTATTTGCTAATGTGGAGCAGCTGCATACTTGGGAAGATGAATTTTTAGATGAACTCGACAACATTGACCCCACTGAGAGTCACACCCTGCCCATTTCCACACTGCATGACCTCAATGCCCCTGGTGGCCATGATTCAGATCTATGTGACTCTGATCTGTCATCAGTCTCTCATGCTCCATCACCTGTTGCCAGCTTGGTCACTCATTTCAATCCCCCTCACTCTCATCCAGCTAGTGTCACTGCTGCACAAGCTGATCTTGGTGCTCAAACTATTTCTGGTGCTTCTCATCAATCATCCCCTTCTATCTCAATTGGGTAGCCAATTTCAAACAGTGGTGTTGAGGTGTCAGCAGTGACCATTGCTGTTGGTCAGATGAATGTGTCTGGCCCAGCTGAGGCTGAAACATCTCGATCCTGATGAGCAATTCCAGTCATGAGTCACTGGTGCAGCTCAGCTACTCAAAAGGCGATTCCAGCCATTCCCAAGGTGGTTCCCAAGGGTCTTACAACTGATATTTGTGCTACTGAACCAGGTCTGGAACCCACCTGCCATGGTTGCCATGCTACTGCTACAAGGTCCTCGAAACTGAAGAAGACGAAGGTTTGAATTAATAGCAGTACCAGGTGTCACTTATGTGCCAGGTTTCTATATGTTCTACGATCTTTGATTTAGCTTGCATCCCATTATATTAGATGCAATTCATGTTTCAAGGTCATGTAGATCTACTTGTAATACATTCATTCACTGCAATCATACATTGTTGCTGTCATCCTCTGGAATTACCTGATCTGATTTCTTCTAAGTCATTCAAACTCCGCTGGCTATACTATAAGCGACTCACCCCTCTTCTCATGCCTTGTTGTCTCCCACATTGTTGTCCTGGTTCATTGTGTTGTTGTATGGTGCTGTTGCTGTTATCCACCCTGTTGTGCTCATTTGTCATTGTCTGTTGCCTGGAGAGTGGGTTTGAGGGTCAAGGCATGTTTCCCCCATGACACTATTATTACTTCTGACATTAACTTTTTTCAAGGTTCCAGACAACTCATGACAGCATTCTGTGTTGATGCCAGCTCCATTGTCCTATTGCTTGACACTATGAATGCCTCTTGTGCAACACTTGTTCTATCTTCCTCATCCCATCGCCCCATATTGCCACTCCCATTGGGTCACTAATCTTGTAAGTATTTTAATTACACTGTAAGCTATGATCTGATGGTTGTCAACAGCATATGCATTTGCTTTCATCCTTGTGTCATCATCACAATGACCCCCATACTTACATTGAGCTGCTGTCCTTTCCACCCCTTACTGCTCTTAGTTGCTCATTGTCTGCTTCGCATGTCCACTTGCACCACTGGCATTATTAGGTAGAACTCTCCAATTATTACTACCACTTGTCTATACATCAATAAGTAGCAATTTCCGAATGGAATTTTAACCATCATCATGAGTGTACCAAGGCAAAATGAAATGACAATGGATCATCAAAATATTAATAAATAATAATGGTTAGTATACATTGTGATGAGTTCCATTGGTATTGCTATGGGTTCTTCACCATTGTCATGCCATTATAAGTACTTATTAGGCCACAGCAATATAATACCATGATTAGGTAAAATAATGAGTTATCAAAGTCATAATCATGAGATGACACATGATTTCAACCACATGTTCATGGAAAGTGGGTGGCATTACAAGTCATTAAAAGGCAGCATGGGAAATCCACTCCTATTAAGGTATGCTAATGACTTGTCATGGATCTAGGAAATTTGCAACAGATGTCACACACCAAAGGTGTTTGGTGAGGTGGACATGGATACAGCTGATGAATGGAGATGAAGACCATAGCCCTCATGCGAAGAAGGACAGCCAGAAATGTCAGCAGTCATCCCTTGCACAAGAATGAGTCATCAGTGCCAAAGAAAAAGAAAGGGAGCAAGTTAAGCACTGGTTAAAATTCTTAAGTGCCTGTGTATGGCATTCCGGTTTTCAACATATCTCTGCCATTTCTGCAGATACTGAGACCATTCCCACACTTGCTTGTAGTGCTTGGCCATGCGATCTTACCTTCCAAAATTGGAAAGGATTTGCACACTCCACACATTTCTACAGCACTCCCTCCAAAAGATGCTCATTTCACTAAATTCTTCTGATATGGCTGCCTCCATGTCAATCATTTCACTTGTCCCCTTTGCTAGGGACCATGGCTACATATATCTGCCAGGAATTCCTACCAGCTTCTGTCCTGAAGCATCCTGGTACATCCCACCCTTGTCTGTGCCCTCTCAGCCCATGCAGCTTGGACAGCATGTGCTTTTTGTCAGTATGACCTCTAGGAGGATGTTCTTTGGTCACCTCAGGTCTGTCATTTGCTTGGGAAGGTCTTATGTGGTCATTTCAGTCTCTCCAGTCCAAGAAGCATGTGGATCCTTCCTCCCTGCTCCCTGCAATGTCTTCATACCAGTCTTGTCCATCATTCTTCCAAGATTGCGACAGCTACAGTATGATCTACTGTTCTCCACTCTCCCTGATCACATCCATGACAAGTATGATGCACATCTTGCCTCCTTGTTGCAAGATATGGCAGAAGACACTCCCCCTTCATCCTCTCTTCCAACAGAGCCTCATTCATGAAGTTTTTATTTGCTTCACTGAGAGGATGGTTTGGGGGGGAAAGTTGTGATCCCCTATGCTCCTGTCACCCAACAGACCCCCAAAGCTTGACCCCTGTTGACATCTGACTCACCCTGTCCACTTTTGGATGTACTATATCAGCATCAGATTGGCACTGCCTCTCAGTCATCCCACCTTGGCCTAGAAGTGATCTCTTTGAGATGTGACATGCACAGCCTCCCCCTAATGTGATTCCAGTGTGCTTTCCCAGTTCCTGACATTACTTGACTCATACTTTGACATTCTGACTGTCTCTGACTGACCTATTGCCAATACTTACCAATATTTTGACTTTGCTTACTGATTCTTTGCCTTTTGGCTTGCTAATCCTTACAAATGCTTTCCAAGATGATTACCCATTGCTTACATTCCTTACTCATCAGTTACCAATCACTTACCAAGTGTTTGCACCTTGTTTTCCATGGGCAACACCCCTGTACTGTATATAAATCACTGTACTTAGATAGCAAAAAAAGAAAAGACATCAGAGAGCCCCTCTTGCTCACATTTTTTATCATCACTCAGTAAATCCTCCATCAGCTTTGATAGTTGAGACTTTATTAAGGGTCTAACTATCGTCTACTTTGCTTATTATTGTCTATCATCAATCTACTTCACTCCAAGCCCTCCATGAGCTCAGTGCAGCTCAGAGCATTGAATTCAGTTGTCATCCATCCTTCTGTAGGCTGACAGCAGTCTACTCTATTGCATTCTCTTGCCTGCTCCTTCTTCATCAGGAGCACCCCCAACCCTCAGCACTCATCTTTGAGTGTTATAGCTCACAAACACCCTCCCAAAGAACAGGTTCTACCATCTAGGTACTGCATAGGCACACCACCACTTGCTCTTTTTGTCTTTTGTGTTGGTTTTGGTTGGTTTTCACCACTGAACCACACTTTGACTCACACTGCATCCTTCAAATTTACTTCAAGGATATTGTGGAAAGCAGCAAGCTGGGAAAGGCAGACAAGATTGCAAAGTGAAGAGGTGCCATCAAGGTGATAAACAATGAACTAGTGCATCATAGCATCATCACATTTTTTTCACTAACTGATGCATTCAGGACACTGTACATGACCTCATCACTAGGATGGATGAGATTCCAATGACCCTCATTGGTGTCAACATGTTCTTAAAGTGGCATGAAGACTTCGGCTCGATCAAGCACCCATGGCCTGAGTGGAAGACTGCCCTATCCCCTTCCAAAACTGACATTGCCAACCACAAGTGGCTTGACATTGTTGAGCATCGATATGACTACCACTGGTTGGGCCTCCCTATGCCCCACATTGTGCCAACACCAACACCACCCACTCAAGAGACCAAAATGCCTATGAGCAACAAAGGAAAACAGAAAGTGACTGAGGCAGAGGTGGAGCAAATGATAGCAGATAGCTCGCACAGGATGGAGGTGGATGATGAGGGTGAAGATAAGGTGCCAGAGAAGGAGGATGATGAGGAAGAACCAGTGTGAGGCAGGCAGAAGTGCAAAGCTGCTGCAAAAACAACATCCCATCAATCCAGACATCAATCCTGCTCTAGGAAGGCAACAGCAGAAACTGATGATGACGAAGACTATGGTGTAAAATATGCACATTTATTTCTCACAGCCACACTGCCACACCACCACACCCATTTGACCATGTCATTACCTTTTGCAGCCACACCCACTCAACTGCATTGTTGTCACCTTGTGCAGCTACACAACTATGTTATTGTATAATACATAGATGATATTTCCTGTGTAAACTCAGTACAAACCCTACACAATATGTCTACTCTCTGCTGCCCTTCCCACTGTAGAAATATCTGTAGGCTACCTCAGTAGTGAACAAACTACTGAGTGTATTACTGTACCTGTAGGCTACTACAGGATGTCAGTATAGTAGAATGCTTGTAATATAAACAGACTTACCCTCAGTAGTGAACAAACTACTGAGGGAATACTAGTAGAAAATACTACAAGTATGTGCACTATTTCAGCTTATGAAAGCAGCCAAAACATCACACAGTGGTTAAGTACCACAGGGGCACTTTATGTTCCAACACCCACTTCCCTATGCATCAGTTCTGATAATGGCAGGTGTGATAGGGGAAAATAAAATAAAAAGCAGACAACTTTTTGATGTTTCTATCTGGCCACTGTGTCCTCTTTAAGGTGCCATATGTGCCTACAACATATTCAAAACTCATAAGCTGTGGTGGGGTACTTCAGGTACAGTGACACAATCTCAGCCAGAAAATGATTTCCTAGGCATTCTGGTGCTAAGACTGTAATTGTACATGGTATAGTAGTTCCACTGAGTATATTGGCGCATAATTAGACCTGCTATCAAGTATCCAAGGGTTCCACAATAGCTGGAAAGGATGTCAGGCTTAAACAAAGAAGTGTCTGCATTTCTGATACACCTGACACGGGCACTCAAAAAAGGCACCCCCTTGGAGGGGGCCTCTGTACCTATAACATACCAATACCTCATTACATCAGGTGGATTCCTTGAGGTGTTATGCCATAATCTCCTCCTTCTGGTATTTAGGAGCTTTGTCAAGTTCCAGGGTATGTATTGCCAATGTAACTATCTAGAAAGGTTTGGAATACTCAGAAGAAGCCCCCACAACATCCCCAAGCCCATACCTGCAGG